TCATAGCGAGCCGGTCGAATGTGTTGGTGACGGCGGGGGCGTAGGCGGGGGTATTAGGTTGACTGGCGAGCCGGCAAAGATGTGCCTGTTCGCGTTGACGAGGGGCCAGCCCTGGCTGAGAGGAAGTTAGTGGACGGGAAGTGGGTGGACGCAGATCAGCACCCACATTCCATCCCAGTGGATCCATGTGAAGCCAATCCGGATGAGCTGTGAGAGGTCTTCGGCGAGCACGGCAAAGATGCGCCCCTTCACGTTGACAAGGGGCCGGCCCTGACTGAGAGGAAGTTGGTGGACGTAGATCGGCACCCACATTCCATCCCAGTGGATCTGCGTGAAGCCAATGCAGATGAGCTGTGAGAGGGTCCTCGATGAGCACGGAAAAGATGTGCCCCTCTGCGTCGACGAGGGGCCGGCCCTGACTGAGAGGAAGTTAGTGGACGGGAAGTTGGTGGACGTAGATCAGCACCCACATTCCATCCCAGTGGATCTGCGTGAAGCCAATGCAGATGAGCTGTGAGAGGGTCCTCGATGAGCACGGAAAAGATGTGCCCCTTCACGTCGACGAGGGGCCGGCCCTGGCTGAGAGGAAGTTAGTGGACGGGAAGTTGGTGGACGCAGATCAGCACCCGCATTCCATCCCCCCGCCGTGTGCTTGAGATATGCAGCAGGGCGTACCGCATGCCCGGCAGAGATGACCACCACCTCTCGGATCCCTTTGGGGCAACACTGGATGTGGTTGCTGCGCGATGCGGGCTTGTTCTTCGGGGCAGAGGAAGGGTGGGACCGGCAGCTTCTGTATCAGTGGTTGCGATGGTGGTGTCCGAATGCGAGGTGTTGAGGTAAGGCTCAGAGTAACCCTAAACCCTAACCTAAAAAACTAACCCTAACCTAACCCTAGTGCAGTGCAAACGAAGGGAGTAGGCGTGAGGAATGAGTGAAAGGAGGCCTAGTGAGGACACACACACCTCTGCAGCTTAAACACCCAGAGGCAAGCAGCCGGCGATGCGGAGCCCAATTTGAGCTCAACGCAACGCACTCTCCGGGGTGCGGCAAGAAGGATGGGGTGAGGCAAGGAGAGGGGCTTACCGGGTCCTCTGGTTGGGTGAGGTGGTCGGGTGGTGGTGGTGGCCTTGAAGGGAGTTAGATGATTATCAATGTCCAGCACACGCACATGTCAACAAACAAATGTAAGCCGGACGTCGATGAGGCAGACACCGATGTCGGCATTGAGACGGTTCTGAACGTCGCTGAGGATGGGAATGGCACAGAGGAGGACGGACCATAGTGATGTTCGTGCCGTTTATAGTACAGAGAAGTTGGTGGACACAGGAAGTTGGTGGACACAGGAAGTTGGTGGACACAAGAAGTTGGTGGACATATTGCTTGATCTTGTTCAGTAGCCCCGCCCTGTTGTACCACTTATTATACATTTACTTAAAAATGGACCCCATTGTCGGACACCCTACTTCTGTAGGCCGCATGTCGGACAGCGGGCTGCGTTTTTCACTGGAAGTTGGTGGACTCCACCATGTCATGTTTTGCAGAATACATTGTGTTTAATCATATAGAAAACAATAAAACTACGATAGAACGTCAAAAGAAAAAATAGAAAAAAAATAATTAATAAGGTCGGGGTCGGGGGTCGGGACGGCGGGCGGGGGCGTCGGGGTGACACCTCATGTGCCATGAATAACCTGTTAAGTTGGCTTTGTACGCCAAGGACATAATGCGTTACAATGCGGGTAGCCATATAAGGAATGAGGTTTAAAAGAATGACCGCACCAGGGTTTGAACACAAAACCTTTTGGGTTCAGGTCAAATCCTAAAGACGCACCACAACCAACTGAGCCAAGAAGACCTGTAGAAACTGTAAGTGTGATATGCACACACTCTACTACAAACCAGGTTTCTAAGCTCATAAGGGACTGTGTGATGCCTACACAGGTTAGGGTTTGGGTTAGGTAGGGCTGTTAGGGTGTGGGTTAGGGTGTGGGTTAGGGTGTGGGTTGGTTAAGGTCTGGGTTAGGTTTGGGTTAGTTAGAGTCATGGTTGGGGAATATTGTTGTTATGTTTTGGAGATTTGTTATTCATTTTGTCAGATAGTCATATGGTGCAATCAAAACCAGGAAAGGGAACAGCAATGATGGCCCAGATGGTTATGGTGCTTCCGCTATGATCTAAGCCTTGCTTAGCTAATCTGTGAGCCTCAGACCGCTGGTTCAATCCTCCCTTTTGGCATTCTTTTCTTCAATTTGTCATTGGAGTTCCCCTGTTATAACGCATTATGCCCTTGGCGTACTCCCATGTTATAACTTGTTAATTGAACTGACTGAGCTGGGGGTGATGTGCGGGAGTGGCGGTGTGACGTGCGGGACGTGTTGTTGATGGGTGATGTGATGGGGGAGGCGGTTTGATGGCAGCGTGCACCCGTGATGGCAGTGGCGCTGGGGACGGAGTCGGCGGTGACGACGGCGGCAGTGACGACAGCGGCGGTGACGACGGCGGCGGTGACGACAGCGGCGGTGACGACGGCGGCGGTGACAGGCGATGAAGACGGCGGGGAGGGCGGTGGCCGCCGTAGAGGTAGTGTCCACCACCCGCCGTAGTTGGTGGACGGCCTTGGGCGATCTCCTAAGTCCCCCACATAAGGGATATAAGAGATTCCCGTGAAATCGCATTAAGCCCTCTAGTTAGAATCTGAACCCCCCCCACCTTCAGCCTCTAACTAGAGGGGTTAGTGGGGCACATTAGGTGGCGCGCATAGGTAGAGCGGAGCTGTTTCAAAGGGGAGGAGGAGACAGGTCATGTTAGTGAGATGCGTGATGTACATGAAGTAAGTAGCAACCTTCGCAGACTTTCTTTCCAAATGACTTTTTCTCTTGTCAACCCTCTGCCTGAGGCGACACTGATTCCTGTTCTCCGCGGCTCGCATTACGTGTGGAGGAATCCGCAGGCGCCGATGGTTTTGGCTCCTGGGATACAATATTTCGGTGGTCGGTTGGGTCATTCATTGGATAAAAGGGACGGGAGGGTCATGAATGTCGTAGGGGAGGTATATTTTATAAGTACTCGTGGTTAGGTATGTGCAATTCCGAGTCATCCCCAACTTTGGTCACCATCACACATCACATCTTCCCTCACACAGCTAAGAGTGCGAAGCACCCAGCGTCTCTCTTCCCCTCTCTCCCTCACGAGTCCGCTAGCACACGAGGGAGAGTGTGTTTGTGGTCTGCGGGGGATCGGGCGGAACCGCCGCCTGGTATGACGGCTTGTACAAATATTGATTTCGGACGCGCGCATGTGCTTTGCGCGCGCGCAGGCCTCCTGAGTCCCTCTGAGTGCACGGGCTATGCTCAGCTAATAGTAATACACTATAATATGGTAGATAGCCCTTCTCCTCATCCTCCCTCGCATGTCCGATGCCACAGGACAAGGCGATGAGTAAGTTAGTACTTACTGTACCTCCAGCGGTGGCCCCGAGTCCCCAATTCTCGGGAAAGCCTTTTGGTACTCATCACCTCACTCCACTCCGAGGATAAAAGGGCAGGGACGGTCCGGGCGGCGGGGACGTCGTCCAGAGACACGGCGGGTGGGCGAGGATGTTGGCGACTATGTGAACGATTATCACTGCGTTAAGTGGCTCCATCGGCACAGGGTAGGACATCTGACGACGTGTGCCGACGTGTGCCGATCTGGCGTCGGCAGACTGCGTTTTCCCATGACGCCGTCCGACGTTGGCAACCCGTGCCGACCCGGCGGCTTAACGCAGTGTATCTTCACAAAAAGTATATAGAGTTCATCGTCCTTGTCTCATGCGGGTACGCCGGCGCGATCGACACTCGCCCCCCGTGTTAAGATCACACGATGTCCGACTCATCAGCAAACCCTGATTTTTTCCAAGGGGGGATCGGGATTAAAATTCCGGACGGGGGGAGGGGGGGGGGGGGGGGGGGGTCTGAGCGGGGCCAAAAAAAACTTCTTACTATAAGTTATGGGAGGGAAGGAAAGGGCTGGCAGAGGCATGGTAGAGCCTCTAGTGAGTAAAAAACCTCAAGTTCTGCTTCCTACTTACCTCAGGAGGTGTTGAAACAATAATTCCACTCAAGTTCGACCAAAAGTGGTCCGTGGGCGTCCCGGGATGAGGTTCAGCAAAAATTTACAGCTTCACTTGAGCCTTTGTAGCACTCTAAATAGCTTTAGGAGCCATGGGATGTACTTCAAACATTAAAAACAAGAGGTATCGGGACTACGAAGAAGGTTCAGTAGATAGCGGGAAATCCGGCGGGAGCGGCCCGGAGCTAGGGGTGGGAAACACCTTCCCTATATAGAAGGAGGGGGGGGGAGGGGGGGTCCAGCCAAGGTTGAAATTTTTTTATCGACCCACCTTCCGAGTTTCGAATCCCGATCCCCCCTTGATTTTTTCGGCACTACAGGACACTACAGAGTGCTACATAGTGCTACATAGTGACTTGTAGTGACCTGTAGTGCTGTAGTGAAGGTCCATGTCTCTGGAGTGCTACAGAGCACTACATAGCACCCATAGTGGAATCAGGGTTTGCTGATGCTCTGTTTCCTGTTGCCCTGCCAGTGGTGCTTCGGAGTGGGAAGAACATTTGACGAAGGAGGAAAAAAACCTATCCAATATTGTTCACTCAGACCCATGCGGACGCGGGGAATCGAACCCCTTCACTGCTTCTCAACTACAGGCACTCATCTTGAATCTGGTGCAGCTGTGCGCCACACACTACATCCGCTTGCTACACCCACTTCCTCGGTGTATCAAGTGCTCACGATTTCTTCAACTTACCACGGTACGGTTGTATATTAGTTTGCTCAAAATAGCTCTCAAGTTTCTTTTCGACTCGCCGCGTGAGTTCGTTTCACAAAAATATAATGTGTTGGGTATTCAAGTTAGAGCTACCCCACTTCTCCGGAGCGGGAAGCACACTCAACCAGGGAGCCAGGAAAATAATAATAAAAACACCTAAGCTCGCGGTGCATGTGGACGCGGGGAATCGAACCCCGTCCAACTGCTCCATTCTCATATAACCAACCGCGAATTGGATGCAGCCGTTCACCGTGAACCACGTCCGCTTTAACAAAGAGTACCCCAGCCACTAAACCTTGATTTATCTTCTCCCAAGCTGCAGTCGAGTGTCCGCCGAAGAACGTGGTTGGGTCGTTTATCGGAAGGTCGGTTCAACTTCAAACTCCAATGGTGCCTATGATTGATTGATGGTTCACATGGGTGACTGAAGCGCCGAATATCGGTGCGTGCTGTACATGTGCAGGGATGCGAAATAAGGTGGGAAGTCTGTAAAATTCAGCGGCTGCGGAGGTTGAATATTGTTGGGAGGAACTTAGGGAATATAAAACATGTAAAAAGTCTGCAAGAAATGTGCGATGGTGGATGCGGGGAATCGAACCCCGATAGGCTACTTCAGACTAGCTTCCTCCGGTATTGAGAGCAACTGTACACCACGCACCACATCGCCTGCCTTGACCCGGTAAGTGTACCAGTTTATTCTACGCCCTCCACATTGGAATAAACCGATCATTGTTTGGATCGAGTTCACATTGCTGTTGAACTGATCAACGCTGAACCAGTGTTAGCCTCTTTTCACATCGCTCAGTGCTATTTTTTCCCTACGTTTCGAATCATGTATGATTATCTCTGTATTGCAATGCACCGGCCATGTACTGTAGCAAGTTGTAGGGAGGCAACGGTCACGGGTAACGGGAGGCCCGTTGCGTTGCCTATTTTCTGGCGGGTCACGGTAACGGTAGGGTTGGTTGCCTTGAAAAAATCGTGACATTGAAGGGGAAATTGTTGGAAAATTTTGTTGACCCTGATAATGAGCTCCAATGGCCAGGAGTCCATCCAAAAGCTCTCCTCAAACCAAGAAAGTGCCCACACAATGCCGGAATGCGGATAGCTTGCCTTTTAAAAATAATCTGGTTGCCTCCTTAGGCAACGGTCACGCTCACGGTCTGCTCCGTTGCCTAAAAAATAGGCAACGGAATTGTCACGGTCCTCAGGGCGTTGCCTCCCTACAACTCGGTACAGTACTCTTTATATTCTGTGCTGCAGTGCGATTAAACCAACGGAAATTCTGTCGAAGAAACTCCCTTAATTGTAAAGGCAAGCCGTCTCGGCTGAGCATTCTACAGACTCTCAACTTGCCTGGTCCCAGACCTTTGGGGTCTTGGGAGGGTCGCTGTGGAAGTACCATAAGGCTCGCACATCGCTCATTTGTTTTCTCGCTCAGTGCTATTTTCCTACGTTTCATTTATGGTGTACTGCCTCGCAAGCACAATTAATTAATGCTCGAAGGTGTCGCCGCCGTTCCGTACCGCGGCGGTGCGTGCCCAGTCGAAAGGCGTTCCATGGTACCTGGCCACCCGAAATGTGCCTCGAAATCGTCGTCAATTAGACGACACCGGACGAATGCGGAGCGCTTAAGAGATTCTTCAGTGACTGGAGCATAAATGCTTGCCGTGTAAAGGCACTTTTCTTTTTGCCGCTGACACACATGATATTCGTTTCGTCTTCGCTGAACACTATGCCCGTCAAATGCTATACACATTTGGCTCCAAGGAAGTACTATATTCGGATTTTAATAATATTATCAGCGCAATGTTTTGGGCACGGAGAATCCATTCTTTGTCACAATGTAATGCAAGTGAGAACTCGGCCTAAAAAAAGACGAACACAAACTCCAGTCTCCCGATCAATTTAGGGCTTATGGAGCTGCTTACCACTGACCAATCTGAGGTTTCAAATACAAGCCTTGTGATATGGACTGGAGCCTCCGAGTCGGCTCAATGTTCGAACTGACAAACAAGTTCAAGAATCAACGCTCGATAATTCCAGAATCTCAAGCGTTGAAGAACACGCGTCACAAACTGTCGCATTTATTCCGTTTCCCAGACAAAGCCAATCAAACCATTTCAACCTCAACTTTGAACCAAAATCACACGTGCATTTGTGTGCACGTGTTGCCTATTCCGAGTCCCACGCCTGTCGACACTTTCTTCCTGCAGTCACCGGCACCGACGACGATTTGGGATGGCCGCTGTTTCTTTCATGATTCCCCAGATGCAAGATGCCCTAAAGCAACCGGAACGATGGAATTCGGAGTGGGAAAATACTATACGCAATATGGAGAGGCGGTTCACGCCCTCCGCTCTGGTCAACTCGCTCGCCCTCACCTTTGCGGCGCAACCTCTTAGACGGGACGCATCGCTCCGTGAACACCAGGCCATATTGAGCAACCTCTGCCGCACGCAGGCAATTCTCACTGCCACCGCTGGAACATACTTCGCCGGCGCAAACCTTGAAGAGCGCTGGATGAAGGCTAGTCCGGATTTGCGCGGCAAGCATATCCTCATTGGGCTATCTAGCGCCTGCTCCATTGCGAGGAATCTGCACGACGCGCGCGTATATTGCGGCCGAGAGTTGACGCTCTCTCATCTACGTTCAGATGGACGAGCTGTGCTCGAGTTGCTCAAAGCGGTCTTGTTACCAGAAGTGGCAATGCCCGAGGAGCCAAAACTTCTCCCGCATCCTGCATGGGATGCTTTTGCCGCTGCGCAAGCGAGGGGATCCCCAAACGACAGCGAAAAGTATGCTCTTGCGAGCATTCTTACTCTACGAACGAAACTTATATGTAGGCGACTCACTGTGACTCATGGCTGTATCTAATCGTTTTCGACGAATCACAGGTCATGTTATTCATGCCACCCTCAACTCGTTTGTCGGTGTAGAATTGCCCACGGTTGCCGTCGCGAAATATAACAAGAAGAATAACCCGGGCGAACCTTTTTTGGGACGCGAGCTTGGAAAATCTGTTGTTGAAGGCATGCTCGGCGTCGCAGGAGCCAAGGCCCAGGCGAAGGAAAATAAAGCTGCCTGGATGGAACGCCAAAGGGGTAGGACGGAGTATTGCTCTTACGGCGGGTGCTCGAAAGCGAACGACGGCAGCGCCAAGTTTTCGCGATGCAAAACATGCTGGGACAATATGCAACGAGAAATCCTGTACTGCTCTACGTTCGTGGATCTTCATCTTATCGTCGTCCCTTTCTCTTATCCGTTTCACAGAGAATGCCAGAAGGCTGACTGGAAACCGCAGCACAAGTCGATTTGCGGTAAACCCCTCACGTTCGAGGCGGTGTCGAAGCCGCCTCCTCCTATCCCTCCCCCCTCTAAGCCCGCGCCGCAGATAGGGCCAGCCGTAGGCAATTATAAGCGCTCTCCTTCCCTCGTATATCAGATCGGGTGGCTGAACCTCAACCCAAAGCTCGACTACGTCGTTAGAGGCGTCGCAGAGGAGACCAATCTGGACTTTCCCGACCCCGAGGCTCAAGCCCTCTTCCGACAATGTCGCGAGAAGGCCATGACGACAGGAGACAAACAAAGCATTGCGATTATGGCCCATTTCATCTGTTGGATGACGCTGGACAACCCACGGTTCCACCTCGCGGCGATCGTCGAACAATTGAAGAAGGAGTATGTGTTCGACGAATTGCCTCGGGCCATCCACGAGATGCAACAAAGACAGAACAAAGATCCCTTTCGGCGTCCGTGAGTCGATCGTTTGCGTCCTCTCCGTTATAAATTCATTTTTCGTTAGACCTCTTCTCGCTCAAATGTCTCCTCAGAACTGGGTCAACTTCTGTAAAGGGATGAACGTCAACCGGCAGGTTGTGCTCGAATTGTGACCTCGACGACGAGATGCTTCGATTTGCCCCGTGTAATCCATCTATGCCAGTTTTTGCGAAGATCTGATTGTTAACTTCAATTCCTACCACGCGATGGTAGAGTCGTCCGAGTCTTCGCAAACGTTAGGCTCTTCAGCAACATTTTACCGTTCCCCGACGCAAAGCAGCAGCAGACTTCGACTGTTTGCAGGCAATGGCATTAAAGCAGCGACAATATACATACAAGAATAATCATTTTGACAATAGAGACGAACGATACTAGAGTAACGGGGCGCGAGTTTTCTTTCAACAGCCGAAGGTCGTCTTACTTTTTGGTCTTCCTGCGCTTCGACACACGCCCATCCTGAGAATCCCCACCTTGAGCCTGAAATTCAGCGGCATACAGCTTGAACACTTCTTCTAGCTCAGTCGGTTGGGTCCCAGTGATGTCGTGGAATGCGTGCGTCGAGATATAATTCGTCTTTCCTTCGCGCACGAGCGAGTAGTACTCGAGGAGGAATTCCATTTCGGAGCTATCGAGCTCGGAATGCGACTTGAGCAGCCGTTTCGCCTCGGCCCTGCGTCAAGTGATTAGTTTAACCGAGCTGCAATCCAAAATCGATGTAGCAACGAACTGGGAGATATTCTCATACGTCACATCGAACCCAAGGGCCTTCCCAGCGGCGGTCGCAAGCTCGTCACCCGCCGCCAACATCGGACCTACGAATACCAAATGAATCGAGATATCAGAAATAGTATGAGGGTGCGATGCAAGCCACCAACCGGTCAAGACAATCAATTGCCCCCTATGCTGGTCGGCAAATCCCTGAGGGCCTTCGCCAGACAATACGTGTGCTGCGACTTGAGCGATATCTCCAAGGGCGATCGGAGCAAGTTTGTGCGTGGCTCCCACAGGCAAAGGCAGGATATGTTCTTCGCGTATCTGGGGAGCGTACAGCAAAAGGTTTTCAGCGTAGAAACCCGCTCTACAGATAACGTCAGTGGCATGTTGGAGAAAAATACGAGTGCACGCACCTAATGACCACCGGGGAATGCCCCGCCTTCGTACTGGTATCCCCTTTCGACGCCAATACGAGATGCTCGAGGGCGATGAACTCGTGGAGCCTGGGCTGTTTCTTGGGATCGGCGAGATCAGCACCGGCGGCGCTGATGAAACAGACGTTGGGGATATTGGCTTTCCTGGCAGCGTTGATAAGTTCAAACGTGATATCGTATTTGTCGGGGTGGGTCGGTGGAATGAGGCAGATAGTGTCGACGCCCATGTCCTTCAACTGCTTCGTCAAAGCGCGTTCGCTGCCCGGCTGATGAGGGACTATCGCGGCGCCCAAGCTTTCGAGCTGCTGAACATGCTCGTGTTCGACATCCAAGGCAAG